AACAAATGGAAGATCGTTCATATTGATGTCCATGGCTCTCCTCAGGGCTCCAAATCGGGCTTTTAGTCTTCCAAATGCACATTCAATCACCATTCTAGCTCGGCACAACGAAAGTCCAAAGTACTGCTCCTGAACATTGCTTCCTCCGTTAGCATATTCTTTCATCAGGTAAGGTAGAAGTGGGTATGCAGGGTCACCCAGTATGTAAATGGGTATAGCGTCTTCGTTCTCCACAATTTGTCTTGGACGGGGGGAATCTTCATGTTTTTCAGATTTGTGTTTATTGTGGAGTTAGCAAAAACTCTGGCATCATGCACACTCCCTGGCCATTTCACAACTACATCAATAAAGCTGTACTTGTAATCACAGGTGGCTTGTATGTTAAGAGAAAACCTCCCCTTCCTATTTAGGTACTCTGTAGAATTAGCTGATGGCTGCTTTATCTCCACATGAGTCCCATCCACAGCTCCAAGGCACTGAGGGAGACCATAAGCCTGCTCAAATCCCTCAACAAGTGCACGCACAGCAGTCTCTGTTGTTGGCATTTTTATGTAAGATGGTCCCAAGTACACAGTTATAGCCTTACACACCTCTCTAATTATGTTTGAGACTACTTGTCTTGATAAGCCAAATGCATTGGCCGTTTTACGCAGTCTTCCCTCGTCAGCCAAATAATATAGCGTGCATGCAACTTTTTTGACCACACAGACTGGAGATCGCATTACAGTACTCTTCCCTTGAATGTAAGGAAGGAGTAACTCCGAGAGCGACAGTAATGACGACCGTGACATTCTGAAGTTCTCACGCCATTCCTGTGGGAGAACAATTTCCTTCTCAAAGTTTTCCCACCAGCCAGCAGTGCGTCCAGGTCTGATCCAAAACCGGCGACGGCGACGCTGAATGGCGGTATTGTGCCTCCGTATCGGTAGGGATAGTTGCTGTAAAAGAGCTGAACGCCAAACGCTTTTTCTCCTTTGTAATTCCATCTGTTGGAGCAGTTGTGCTTGTAAAAACAAGCAAGCAAAAATTGCCTGAACCAGCGTTACAATTAGTACTTCCCTAAACGCAGTCATTTTCCCTCCGAATGAATGGGCAAACAAAAACAATTGTCGCACATGTGACGTCAGCGCCGCGCTGCACCATCTGTCGCAGACATAATGCGCATATCTCCGGTTCCGAAAGTCCACACGCAAACCCGAAAGAGGAGATTTCTCAAATCTCCACTTTGGTCGGAGTTTTTGTTATTATTCGTTTATAGTTACATCAACCGGAGTTCACGTGTGGATGAAAGGCCACACCGCATGATAAACTATTCGGTTTTCCTGATATCCGGCTACGTGTGTACAGGGCCTAAGACTCCTTGAAGAACAGAAAACAGCATCTAGGTGCAGACCTGCTTGCTTCTTATAGCATCATCAAAGATCTTATATATCCATCCATCCATCCATTTTCTTCCGCTTATTGGGGGTCAGGTCGCGGGAGGACTTCCCTCTCCCCAGCCACTTGGGCCACCATCTCCGGGGAATCCTGAAGCGTTCAAAGGCCAGCCGAGAAACATAGTCCCTCCAGCGTGTCCTGGGTCTCTTATTATTACGGTGATTAAAAAAGAAACGGGCTTGCCAGAACTATATTAATGTAAGAAAAACTTACTTATTTAAAAAAAAAAAAAATGACACAAAATAGAAATGTGGTAGCTTAAAGTGTCTGACATGAATTTCCTACAAACACAAAATGTGGAAGAAAGCATCTTCATATTTAAGAAAATTGGCACAGTACACATGATTTTACTGTTTTGTCACGAAACTGGCATATTTTCTTTTGAACTTGTGGTCAAAGTGAAACAGGAAGTGACGTCAAAGGGGAACTCCCTGGTCTTTGTTCATTGAAACAATATTATTCATTCATTCATTCAACCTTTATTTAAACAGCTAAATCACATTGAGCCTCAAAGACTCATTTACAAGTGAGACCTGTTTGGACAGACAAAAAACAGTGGTTAACTGGACACATGTAGGAGTTGGAGGCGAAAAAATTCCTATCAGACTTTTCTTTTCTTGCCTGAGGAAAAAAACCCTCTAATATTAAAAAAAAACACCTCACACAAACAAGCACATATTTACGTAGACATTCTGCAATCGGAGACGAGAGCGGTCAACAACGCTTATAGATGCTCTCGAGGTCACTGTAATCAGTTAATGTCCTCCGGTGAGATCCATAAACATTCTCGAGGTATGTTGAGGAATGGCCAAGAATAACGTCTATGAGAATCCAAGAGTACTGAAATGATGACACAAAGTTTATTCATCTGGTTCATCTGGTTATCAGTTGGAAATTCCTCAAGGAGGGGGTGGTGAGCGTCAGATCACATGTTCTCCAGGCAAATTTAGATAAGATGGCCTTCAAGACCAGCCAAGGAAACCAAAATTTAGATAAACACAGTTGTTTTAGGGACAGGTAAGACTTAATGACATCTACCTAGAATCTGTGTTGGTCAGCTCAGTTCCGAAATGTCCAAAATAACATGGCCACACCGATGGAACGTGACTGAGTAAAATCCCCAAGATCTGATCCATTCAGCCCAAAGCATTTGAGTCCGGGTACTCGAGACACGAACCAAGCCATCAAAAAGGCAAGCAGCGTGATCGAGTCCAAATTTGCTGCCGACGACTTCCTTGATTGTAGATAAAACCAGCAACCAGCCAAATCCAAAAAAGCAGGAACCAGTTATCGAAAATCCAATTAAATATGCTTCCTTAAAATCCACAGATGGCAGCAGAGATAGACATATCATCAAGTCTTCCAAGTCGATAAGATATCCAGCTGCGTGCGTGCCAACAGGGCAAATCGGCTCGCCTAAAGTCTGTCTTCTCTTCAAGAAATGTTGTAAATTGAGTTGAGGAACCAACTGGTCAAAACAGTCCATAATTATGGTTCAGAAGAAATGCAAGAGTCTCACAGCAATTTCACAGACAGACACAGCAGCAAAACAAAGCGGAGAGGGAGGGAGGGAAGCATCCGATCTCGTCGAGAGCAAGTGGTGAAGTGAACTCTGACTCATTGTTTCTCTTATAGTGGCTCAAAGTACTCTAAAGAAACATGAGATACTTCTCTACTATGTGTTGAAGGTTATAATCACCCACCTTTTATGGGGTGGGTGATAAAGCATGTCATGACTTTTGAATGTGTTTATAGAGTGAACTAGCTAGCTACTTCTTTAACTCTAACACTAAAGTGCCTGTGACATCAAATTTGGGTAATAAATATGAATGCTTTTTTGTAAAGATATCATTATTAAAGTATTACAAAACATCAAAGTTCATGCTCAATAATCCAGATATACAATCCAACATTTTTCAGTCAGGTCATCTGGACAGCTCCAGCAATGGAGGAGGGGGCGTGCCAAAGACACCATCTTAGCACCAACATAACTGGCTTGTTCCACTTTGGAGTAAGCTGTTGGGGAAAGAATCAGTTTTGTGTTGTGTGTTTCCTTGACTGATGAAGCCTTCTGGATCGAAGGTGAAACGTTTCAGTACAAAAAAAGAAACTGTCCAGATGACCTGACTGAAAAATGTTGGATTGCAAAAACACTAAGATATACGCTAAACACTACTAATGTAAAACAATACGGCGTATCAACAGCAGCCCAAACATGAGTCTGTGGTGAGCAGATAGATATGAATGAATACAGCAGCATGAGATCAGCAGCATGGATAATCAGCAGCACAGATAAGTCAGATATCACCAATTAAAGTGGCATTACAGTACAGTGATTTTCCTTGTTAGGAATTTATGCATCTAACAGCTTCAGGGTAGAAGCTGTTCCTCAGTCTAGTGGTTCTACACTTAATGCTCTGCAACATTCTGCTTGAGGGGAGCGAGGCAAAAAAGTGTGTGTGCTGGGTGAGTGAGGTCCTTCATGATGCATGCGTGTTTTTGTGTGTGTTAATCACTCTTTTAGAAAATATCTCTTAAATTAGTAGCTGAATTTAATTTAAACTTTCAGCAAGTACAAGTGCGTCTAAATAAAACTAGAATATCGCCAAAAAGTTCAGTATTTTTTTGTCAATTGTTTTACAAAGTGAAACTCGTATTACACGTTAAACAGAGTGAAATATTTCAAGACTTTATTTCTTGTAATTTTGAAGAAAGTCCAATAAAAAATGAACGAGTTTGGAATGAAAACCACTCAGTTAACTGGGATTGTGCTTTCTGTCGTAAACCACTGGAACAGTTCAGAGTCAGAGATTCTTTATTGTCGTTCGCACCACATGTGGCACAAGTGGTGGATCACAGGGTCCCGGTTACATCCAACAATAAAATGTAAAAGAAAAACAATGATAACATCTAAGATATGAACTAAGAAAAACATCAACTAAAAATACACTAAGCACTAATAGCATAAAAACTTTACATCGAACAGCAGCACGAACATGAGCATGAGCATTCAACACTGTTCTGCAGGACCATCGGGCTAATTTGTAGTCAAGAACAGGTAAGATGAATCAGACTGGTCTTGTGTTTCAATTCAGGCCCGGAGCCACACATATCCACCAAGTTCTCCAGTCTGAATGCGTTGAGGTGTTTGGTAGTCAGCCCCGATCCTTATTAATGCTGCTGGTGTTCTGGCAGTTCTTTGGTGGGTTTGTTTCTTTTGGCGTTCTTCTGCAGGGTTACTTAGTTCTGAGCTACCAAAGGATTACGTCCGGAAACTAAAAGAACTCTCATACACACGCTCACACACGTGAAGGTAGAAGTGGTGCCTCTTCCATTGCTCCCCCTCTCTCTCGTTGTCTTTTCAAAGCCCTTAAAAGGAAGAAATCAGACAAAAAAGAAAATGTGTGCATGTCGGCTTCAGATCTAGACTTAGACGAAGGCAACGTTTTCTCTTCGGGCCAGAACCACATAAGCACAGCCATCTGTACGGCTTTCAGATACATACATTGTGACGTTAATGGAAAGATTTGATAACTCGGTTCTGTCTGTTTTTCATTTGCCAGTTCATAATAGAAGACATGAAGCAGCAACAAACCAACAAACACAGCAACCTGCACCGTGAAGACCAGCACATCACAGTGGAGGAGCTGTGGAGGGGCTGGAAGACCTCTGAAGGTAAAGTCGTCTCTGCCTGCACCAAGATGGCGCCAATACAAATACAGTGCCTTGCGAAAGTATTCGGCCCCCTTGAACTTTTCAACCTTTTGCCACATTTCAGGCTTCAAACATAAAGATCTAAAATTTTAATTTGTTGTGAAGAATCAACAACAAGTGGGACACAATCGTGAAGTGGAATGAAATTTACTGGATGTGTCAAACTTTTTTAACAAATAAAAAACTGAAAAGTGGGGCGTGCAATATTATTGGGCCCCTTTACTTTCAGTGCAGCAAACTCACTCCAGAAGTTCAGTGAGGATCTTTGAATGATCCAATGTTGTCCCAAATGACTGATGATGATAAATAGAATCCACCTGTGTGTAATCAAGTCTCCGTGTAAATGCACCTGCTCTGTGATAGTCTCAGGGTTCTGTTCAAAGCGTAGAGAGCATCATGAAGACCAAGGAACACACCAGGCAGGTCCGAGGTACTGTTGTGGAGAAGTTTAAAGCCGGATTTGGATACAAAAAGATTTCCCAAGCTTTAAACATCCCAAGGAGCACTGTGCAAGCAATCATATTGAAATGGAAGGAGTATCAGACCACTGCAAATCTACCAAGACCCGGCCGTCCCTCTAAACTTTCATCTCGAACAAGGAGAAGACTGATCAGAGATGCAGCCAAGAGGCCCATGATCACTCTGGATGAACTGCAGAGATCTACAGCTGAGGTGGGAGAGTCAACAATCAGTCGTACACTGCACAAATCTGGCCTTTATGGAAGAGTGGCAAGAAGAAAGACATTTCTCAAAGATATCCATAAAAAGTGTTGTTTAAAGTTTGTCACAAGCACCTGGGAGACACCAAACCTGTGGAAGAAGGTGCTCTGGTCAGATGAAACCAAAATCCAACTGTTTGGCCACAATGCAAAAGAACATGTTTGGAGTAAAAGCAACACAGCTCATCACCCTGAACACACCATGCCCACTGTCAAACACGGTGGTGGCAGCATCATGGTTTGGGCCTGCTTTTCATCAGCAGGGACAGGGAAGATGGATGGGGCCAAATACAGGACCATTCTGGAAGAAAACCTGTTTGAGTCTGCAAGAGACCTGAGACTGGGACGGAGATTTATCTTCCAACAAGACAATGATCCAAAACATAAAGCCAAATCTACAATGGAATGGGTCACAAATAAACATATCCAGGTGTTGGAATGGCCAAGTCAAAGTCCAGACCTGAATCCAATCGAGAATCTGTGGAAAGAGCTGAAGACTGCTGTTCACAAACGCTCTCCATCCAACCTCACTGAGCTCGAGCGGTTTTGCAAAGAAGAATGGGCAAAAATTTCAGTGTCTCCATGTGCAAAACTGATAGAGACATACCCCAAGAGACTTCAGCTGGAACTGCAGCAAAAGGCGGCGCTACAAAGTATTAACGCAAGGGGGCCGAATAATATTGCACGCCCCACTTTTCAGTTTTTTATTTGTTAAAAAACTTTGACACATCCAATAAATTTCATTTCACTTCACGATTGTGTCCCACTTGTTGTTGATTCTTCACAAAAAAATTTAAATTTTATATCTTTATGTTTGAAGCCTGAAATGTGGCAAAAGGTTGAAAAGTTCAAGGGGACCGAATACTTTCGCAAGACACTGTATGTTTAGCTACTATCCTGATTAAAGTTGTCGACCTTTTTTCTGTTAAAAGAGCTTAAACATCAGGAAGACTGTAGTGGCTTAATACTTAGGATAGTACATAACAGATGTGCAGCCAGTACAATGACAGATGCAGAGACCATTAGTAATTATACACCTGTCAAAGGTGGGACGCGTTATGGTATAGTCTCCAACTTACTCTTGTCCTGCCCATAACTTCTGATCCACCCAAGATAATTTAATGAAGCATTATATGCATCATCGGTGAGAAAGAACTGTGTGTGTTTTTTTATAATAACGCCTCTTTGTAACCTTGGTGCTCTGACATCCATGTTCAGACCCACAGTTAAAAACTTGGGGATGGACTTTGACATGGGTTTTTGAAGTTTGATAAACATACAGCCTCTGTAGTCAGTTACATCTTTTAATCAAAATAAAACCTTTTTTATTTTAATCATTTTGACCTGGAAATGCCTGTTCATGCTTGAATCAGCTCTAGGCTTGACTGCTCTACTGGTTTGTATGTTGGAATCCCCCCGTCCTCCGTCAGACGCCTTCAGCTTGTACCAAACGCTGTGGCCTGACTTTTAATCAACAACGCCATATGCGATAACTTCATCCCTGCTTTATTGGCTTCCTGTCCATTTTAGAATAGATTTTAAACCTTTATTGTTTAAAATGAATTCTGAAACGGTTGTTTACTATGAGAGGATCAACTAATACATCTTTACCGTTTGTCCCCAAGTCTGAATGCAAAGGATGGGGTGACCAGACCTTTTCGGTCGTTGCACCCAGACTGTGGAACCAACGACCTCAGGACTTGCGCTGCATCACTGATCTGGGCCTTTTTAAATCTATTCTTAAAATCTTTTTATTGAGGCAGGCTTTTAAGACCTTGTGGCATTTCCGTATTAATTTTGTTGATTGTTTATAGCGTTTATGTTGTGAATCATTTTGTTCACCTGTTGGTTGTTGTCAAGGGCTCTATAAATAAATGCTGATCGATTGATCACTAAACCAAGTGTTGCATGCACTTTTCGTCACCCCTGCTTCAAGGTCAAGGTCACAAATCTTGGTTAAATGTTATACAAGGGCTTTGCTTGTCTGCACCATTGCTATACGTTTGTTGATGGGCGTATAATGTGGCGTATGCCGTACTTTGCTTTAATTACAAGTCCCATGGTGCAGGTGTGGTTTCCTAAAAGTAAGAGAGCCTAGTCACATTCCCTGGTGCGCTCCTTTAACCTGATAGGAATCAGTGGCCCAGTTGTATTTTTTTCCCTGAGACTGTTTTCACCGAAACACTTGGTGCTCATGAATCCACCTGATTATCTGCTTCCCACATCTGCTGCTCGGATTAACATTCCTCTGTGACTCCGGCTCTACGTACTGAACACACCTGACCGACCGGGTGCTCACAGTTGTATTAAAATAAGGACAATGTGGACTTTGTTGTGTTCAAACTAAATTGAAACATTCAAATTAAATGTTTTGCATTACTTGGAAGAATGCATTTCGCCTGCCTGCTTTTATGCCAGACTTCTAAACTATAATCTTCTTATGAGAAATGACGGCGTTCCAGATGGTCAAACTGTCTCATGGGATGCACAAGATGCATTTGAGCATCTTAGAAACATTTTTGTAGCAGCCGTTTTTATTCAAGTTGACTCCAAAAGTTAATCAGTTGTAGTTGAACATCCAACAACTGCTTTCTGAAAGTTTCATTCAAATTTGCCCTGTGGTTCATAAAAAGTGTTTGCTAACAGACAAAGTTGCAAAGTTGACTCCAGCAGTTAATATCAAAGTTTCAGATAATGATGTTGAACAATATGTCCCTCAGAGGAGGAGTTTGAAAAGACTCTCAGGTACTAAAACAACAGATTTTAGCTCAGTAGCTGTAAAATTGTTCAAGTTATAGCGATATTTGTGTTTACCAAGTTTGATTAGTTTTAGCAGCCGTCTTGAATTGGGTTGACTTCAAATGATAATGAGCTGTAGACGTACACCCAATGATTATTTCTTTAACGTTTCATTAAAATCTATCCTGTGGTTCATGAGATATTTTGCTAACAGACAGAGAAACAAACACAGGTAAAAGCTTTGATGTTGGGCAATAATAATACCACAAATAAATAAAACTATTGCAAATGTTTTGTTTTGTATTTTCTCATCTTTATCTGTTTTTGATATTTAAACATAATCTTCTTCAGCATAGTGCAGAAGGTTAATGGCGCCTTTGGCTCAGTGGTTAGCACTGTTGCCTCACAGCAAGAAGGTCCTGGGTTCAATTCCCGGTTTGGACCTGGGGTCTTTCTGTGTGAAGTTTGCATGTTCTTCTTGTGCTTGCGTGGGTTTTCTCCAGGTACTCTGGTTTCCTCCCACAGACCAAAAACATGCGTGTTAGTCTGCCTTCAGGCCCAGGCCTCCCTTGCAAAAGAGATCTGTGATCTCAATGGGATTTGCCTGGTTAAATAAAGGTTAATAAATAATAAATAAACATACAACATATCACTGGTTTTCTAAATTATCTCTCAGGCCGCAAGAAAAGTGTTTTTAACACTTCTAGTTATTTAAGTGTCAATAATGGTGTACCACAAGGCTCCGTCTTAGGACCCACTCTCTTTACAATCTGCGTAAGTAATGTAGGTCTGAAATGGGGTAGAGGTAGGGTCAACTTGGGACCAGAACATCACAGTTCAACTCTCCACCATTCCCATGTGTTATTGTGTCCCTGAGCAAGACATCCAATCCCAGGCGCTTACATAGCTGCCCACTGCTCCACCTGGGCGTATCTCGCATGTGATGGGTTAAATGCAGAGAACTAATTTCACCATTGTATGGAGCATACAATGATTATAACACAAAGCACTTTACTTTACTTATACTAGTTTCTGTTTGACAGAAAATACAAACAAACCGACAAAACCGCTTTAAATGTAAAGGGCTAGTCTCAAATTAACATCGAACTAAAGTCTTCTTTGGTGGACCAGTGTTTTATTTCATTACTTTTGGTAAAAGCCGGAGGACCAGGTGTGGTTCTGCGAACTCAGTGAAAGTCTCACAGAAAAATATGCAAATGTGTCGAGTTACAAAAAGACACCACAGCAGCGCTGAAAAGTCCTCATTAGCCTCAACGCCTGAGAGTCTGTTGAATGTGGAGCCTGGAGTTTATTCAGAAACAGCTTGAGGGTTTTTTTTTCAGCTCTGAAAGTCTCAGCAGTTCAACCAACGGCTGAGGGAGCGAGTGAAAATAAAGTGTTCAACAGGAAATGAATCCATAGGAAAATTCAAAACGAGACGGACTTTCAGCTTTTACACTTTGGGCTGTTTTGGATTTCATAATCTTTTATCGTATAGAAGAACAAGTAGATTTAGGCGTCGAGCATTTATGCAAATTAATGTGTACTTATTTAGATGATGGCTAATACGTAATCAGCTTGGGATGTTTATTAGCGTTGATTGTCGTTTGTTTATTTCTCGTGTATTACGAAAGTTTGTCTCGGCGTTTGAACGAAAATTATGCCTCAAAAAATCTTGAAAGTTTAATTTAGAAGTTTTATTGTTTTTTTTGTAGATTTTCTTTTATAAACTCTTTGGGAAAAAGTTTATTGTCATTGTTTTTCATAATGAAATTATATATATATTTTTAATCAGGTTCTAAAAGTGTTTCATTCAAACCTCAAGTGCACAGAAACCTACGACAGAACGAAAATATGAAACGTTGTGTGAAAAAGTGCACCCAGCCCATGATTCAGCACTTTGTAGAACGTCAGCAGTAACTTTTAGTCATTGTCTTCTGTCTTTATCTGTCCATCATGGTGGTTGTGGAGAATCTTTGGCCCACTCTACTTTACAACATTGCTTCAGTTCACTGAGGTTTGCAGTTCATGATTTCTGCACAGAGGTCTGAGGTGTTAGGGTTAGGTTGCAACATCTTGATATTTTTTTAAGCCATTCCGTTGTAGATTTTCTGCTGTTTTGGATCATCGTCCTGTTGAATGAACCTCTTCCGCTTCAGCTGTTCATACAAACAGTTGCTGCAAAACAAGCCCCGATCATCACACCTCCACCACCATGCTCAACAGTTGGTAATGAGGTGCTTTTGATGAAATGTTCAGTGTTTTTTTTTTTTTAAACTAAATGTAACGCTGTGCATTATGGGTAAACATTTCTACCTTATGTGCCCACTGTAAATTGTTCCAAAGGTCCAATTGTATAATGGTAGGGGAAACACTGACCTTTAACCTGCTAACTGAGGCTTGCACTTTAAAGATGGAGCTCTGGGTATGTTTGATTTTCTGAGCATTGCACAGTCTGACTCTGGGGTGAATTTGCTAGGACATCATCCACTCCTGGGATGATCGGCAGCTGACTTGTTGAATGATGAACTCTAAATTGTTTAAAGATGACCACTGACTCTTCCAAAATAAAGGGGAAGTGCGCAAGAATGACTTCATTGTTTTTTTTAACTAAACCAAAATTATCATCTGAAAGGGGAAATGGGGGATCTGCCTTTTTCTGAATGAACCCCACTGAAACACACACCCACACACACGTTCTTGCGTTTGTGACTTATGAGGACTTTGCATTGACTTCCATTAATTTCTATAGACTAACCCTGACCCTTAACCTAACCATTACCAGTACAAGCCTAACCCTAACCCATCCGCAATTCACACCTTAGTCCTAAAAAAAAACCCTAACCCCCCAACAAGACTTCTTATGGCAGGGGTGTCCAACTCAATTACAAAAGTGGACCAAAATTAAAAACTTGGTCCAAGCCAAGGGCCGGTTTCAGTCGATACATTAACTCCAGTCAGATATGCTGGTTCATCAACAAGAGTTTAATTGGTCCCATTTGGTGTTTTCTGCTGCTCTTTCCACATCAAAATGAAAGATTACTGAAAAATCCAACCTTTTTTCTGACTTCAAAGTTAATAAACTCTCCTGAGAGGTCTGTACTGAACAAAGTATTTAGTACCGGTAGTTTTTTTTTTTTTTTAAGCAAAGTGAGAAACAATTAAAAAAAAAAAGTACTTTTAAAATATTTTAGGGGGCCAGATTTGGCCCACGGGCCTTTACTTTGACACGCGTCTTATGGGGACCGAGCTGTGGTCCCCACAATATAACCTGAAGCAAACACACACACACACACATACACACAATCAGACTTGGGTCGTAACACTGTAGATATTCAGCAATTTGCTCCTTTGTTATTCAAGTATTTCTTCTATTTCTGTCTCCCTTTTTTATTTTTGAGGAATCGATGAAGCTTTTTAAAAAACAATCGATCGTCACGTGAACTCGTACAAAGCTGATCGCAGCAGCTGAGCAGCTAAGACTTGATACCTGCAGGACACCTGGCTCGTTTGCTAGTCCTGTTAAATGTTAGAAAATATCTGAAGCTCTGTGCAGCAGCACATGAAGCCAAACTCTTGTTAATGTTTTAATAAACGTTTTAGTCGAAATGCATTTTCCAGACCCGTTTGTCTCTGATCTGTTACCGTGTGTCTGTTTGTTCCCCAACAGTCCACAACTGGACCGTGGCGGACACGGTGCAGTGGCTGAAGGAGTCGGTGGAGCTGCCGCAGTACGAGAAGAACTTCCGGGACTTCCGGGTCACGGGGAACACGTTACCTCGGTTAGTGCCGTGCTGCTCCAACAGCCTCGCTGTTCAGGTCTCAGGAGACATTTGTTGAGACCTTCTGTCTGCATGTGGAAGTGAAAAATTAGCTACATGGGTGGTCTTTGCAGGGTCTTAACGAGGTCTTTAGGCATATGGGTGAAGTCCATAGTGGTTTATTATCATGGTGGTAGGGTTGGGTGATCGGACAAATATACCGACCACTGGTGCTAACTTATTTTAGGGATGATTTTTCATTTTTATTTTTGCCAAGTTAATTTCTCTTTCAAGAGTTTTGTCCTGTAAATCAATGGTTCCCAACACTGGTCCTTGAGGAACACCATCCTGCATGTTTTAGTTGTTTCCCTGCTTCGACACACCTGATTTGAATGAATAGGTGATTGACAGGCTTCTGCAGAAAATGGGGAAGTAATTAAATCACAGAATCAGGTGTGTTGGCGCAGAGAAACACCTAAAATGTGCAGGATGGTGGTCCTCGAGGACCAGCGATGGGAACTTCTGCCCCGAAGTGGTCCAAGAGTCCAGGCAGTACAGAGCGAGGTAAAGGGACAGAAAAGACAACAAGAAAAACCCATTTGGTGAGAACTAAGAGCAAAGCAACATCACGGTTGCCCTCAAACTGAAGATTTTCTAGTTTTGCTTCAGACACGTTCTAATAGGTCACAGCGGGGTCATTATCCTGTGTGAAGGGAGGGGGGGCAGGGGTCTAACAGTACCTGAAACTGTGTTCAGGATCATTGCGCTGTCTCATAAAACAAATATAATCAATAAATCTAACTTTGATGTCACGCACTGCCTTTAGTTATGAAGTTTCTGCTTTGCTGCCACGTGTGATCAGTAGTTTTTATGACTCATTACAACAGAAGCCAGTAGTTTCCTTTAATCTGTGTGCTGCTGCCCTCTGCTGGCTAGAAAAGGCAGCACAGGGAACCTAGTCCAGTAATATATTTAAAAAATATATAAATTGTTTATATTTTTAAAAATCTCTCAGTCTAACAAGGTTCTCCTCAGAGTGACGTGACGAGTGATCCCTCCGCGAGGACTGAATCAGGGTTCGAAGCTGTCACGGTGTATTTATACATTTCAAAGTTCTGCGTGCGGCGGAGCAAAGATGAAGCTGTTATTTAGGGACTGTGACATTAAATATGTTCAGTGGGACATGGGCAACGTGACGCGCTGCAGACTTAGTGTACTGAGTAACTGTAACAGAGGAGGTGGGGGGTGGTCTCATGTTGCACCGCTCAGCTGACTCATGAAGTGATGTCATAACTGAAGGCTTCAACGTGTCAGAGAGGGTCAGACTGGTGATCGAAAGCCCACCTGTTCCTCCTACACCGGATGATGTCTTCACAGGAACAACGCTCTGATTCACTTATTCTTTCAGCTGTTCCCTTTTCAGGAGGTCACAGCGAGTCGTCCTCCTCCATCTCACTCTGTCCTCGCTCCAACTACCTCCATGTCCTCTCTAACTGCATCCATACATCTTTGTCTTCGTCTCTTTCTTGGCAGCTGCGTTTCATTTTTGCGTTGCAGAACTTTCCCTCCATTTACGCAGAAGGCAGCGGCCAGAAGAACTTTTTGGCTTCTGGGTAGTGTAGTTCTTTTGACTTGGGTTACAGTGTAGGCTTATTGAAAGAAAACTACAAAATGGCAGCGCCTGTCCAAAATATTTTTTTTACGTTGACTCTTTCTTCCGTACCGTCAAAGTCACGTGAGCCTATTAAAGTTGACAATCGTGATTCCTGTAGAATCTTACTGAGAAAGAGCAAGTCCGAAAAAGTCGGACCGCGAAGTAGCGGGGGACTATACTCACTGTCCCTCCTCTGGACATGTCCAAACCATCTCTAACTTTATCTCCCAGTTGTTCAACCTGTGCTGTACCTCTGATGATCTCATTCCTAATCTTATCCATCCTTGTCACTTCTAAGGAGAACCTCAACATCTTCATTTCTGCCACTTCCAGTTCTTTCTCGTCTTTTTGTCCATGTCTCCAGACCATACAACACAGCTGGTCTCACCACTGTCTTGTAAACTTTTCCTTTGACCCTTGCTGACACCCTTATCACACATCACTCCTGAATATTTTCTCCATCCACTCCATCCTGCCTGGACTCTCTTTTTCATCTCTTTACTACATTCTCCATGTTCCTGGACAGTGGAGTCCAAGTCCTTGAAGTCCTGCACCTTTGTGGCCTCTGCTCCTTGTAGCCTCACTGTTCCACCTCCTCCCTCTCATTCACACACATGTACTCTGTCTCACTACGGCTGACTTTCATTCCTCTTCTTTCAAGTGCATACCTGCACCTCTCCAAGTTCCCTTCCACCTGTTCCCTGTTCCCACCACAGATCACAACATCATCTGCAAACATCATAGTCCACGGGGATTCCTCTGACCTCATCTGTTAGTTGATCCATCACTAGATCAAACAAGAAGGATCAGCATGGATCATGTTTAGTTTCTGCTGCAGAGCTGAATCTGTTTGTGTTGTGACGTTTTCCACGTGCAAACCCACTTTCTTCATGTTTCCGTTTTGATTTCAGAATAGCAGCGAACGAGCCGTCGTTCATGTCGATGCAGCTGAAGATTTTGGACCAGCGGCACAAGCAGAAGTTGAACCTGAAGGCGCTCGACGCCGTGCTCTTCGGTCCTCCTCTCCGTAAGCGTGCACGCTTTGTCGTAGAGCCACAGCCTTCAAATCAAACGTGCTAAAGCCGCCAACTGTTTTATCACCCCCCCCACCTCCCCCATCCACAGGCCCACAGCACAACTGGATGAAAGACTTTGTCTTGATGGTTTCCATAGTGATCGGTGTCGGCGGCTGCTGGTTCGCCTACATTCAGAACAAATCCAGCAAGGTGCACATTTCTCAGATGATGAAGGATCTGGAGAGTCTGCAACACGCCGAGCAGAGCCTCCTGGACCTGCAGAGTCGGTGAGCGGGGGGACAACAAAAGATCTGCTGCAGAGTTCTGTGTCTTCTCACTGCCTGCATGGGGAGGAGAATAAGAGGGGTGTGGTGGCGGCTCTCGCCCACACTTTAGACGGTTTGCACGCTTTTCTCATTTTAAAGCAACTCCGAAATAACAGGTGTTAAAACAGGTCGGTTTAATCTGTTTTATGATGTTTCATATGATCAATTTATGCGAGGGTTTAAAATGAGAGAGTTTATGATGAACAAACATCTGATGTAGAAATTAAAAAAGACAAATCTGTGTGACAAAACAAAAATAGACTTAAATACAGAAAAACTGACCGAACTTAAAATTAATGCAGCTTGTCTGCAACATCCATCCATCCATCCATCCATCCATCCATCCATCCTCCCTCCCTCCCTCCCTCCCTCCCTCCCTCCCTCCCTCC